TGCTGGGATTACAGGCTTGAGCCACTGCGCCCGGCCTAATTTTTTTTAAATACATCAAATCTGTTGATGATGCAATAAAAATGAAACCCACGTTGACTGCTGGTGGAAAATAACTTTGCAGCCATTATTTTAAAATGTTATAAATGTTCCTCATTTATAAATCTATATCCAAAATACGAAACACAGGCCAGGCACAGTGGCTCAAGCCTGTAATCACAGCACATTGGGAGACCTAGGTGGGCAGATCAAATGAGGTCAGAAGTTCAAAATCAGCCTGGCCAACATAGTGAAACACTGTGTCTACTAAAAATGCAAAAACTAGATGGGTAATGTCACGTGCACGTAATCCCAGGAACTTGGGAGGCTGAGGTAGGAGAATTGCTTGAACTCAAAAGGCAGAGGTTGCAGTGAGCCGAGATCACATGACTACACTCCAGCCTGGGTGACAGCATGAGACTCGATCTCAAAAAAATAAAAATAACAAACAACAAAAGAAACAAAATGTGTAACACAGGACCTGGAAGACACATTCAAAAATCCATGTTTATTGTACCAGTATGCACAAAAGTCAAAAGGCTGAAGCAACCCAGATGTCTCTTGATTTATAAACATACCAAAAAATGTAACATATACATATGATGGAATATTATTCCACTTTAAAAAGAACAATCTTGTCACATTTTAAGATTAACATTGAAAATATGTCACCCGAATTAAACCAGTAACAAAATTATGATTCCACTTATATGAGGTATCTTTATGTTGGTTTGTTTTTTTTTTGAGATGGAGTTTCACTCTTGTTGACCAGACTGGAGTGCAATGGCACAATCTCGGCTCACTACAACCTCCACCTCCCAGGTTCAAGTGATTCTGCTGTCTCAGCCTCCCAAGGAGCTGGGATTATAGGCATGTGCCATATGCCCGGCTAATATTTTTGTATTTTTGGTAGAGACAGGGTTTCTCTATGTTGGTCAGGCTGGTCTCAAACTCCTGATCTCAGGTGATCCGACTGCTTCGGCCTCCCAAAGTGCCAAGATTACAGGCATAAGCCACTGCGCCCAGCTATATGAGGTAGCATAAGTAGTCAAAAATCATAAAAACAGAAAGTTGAAGGTTTGTCTGTCAAGGGCTGGGGAGAGGGTAAAATGAGCAGCTGTTACTTAATGGAATTAAGTTTTAGTTTTATAAGATGTAAAGTTTCTAGAAGTCTTTTTTTTTTTTTTTTTTTTGAGACGGAGTCTTGCTCTGTCGCCCAGTCTGGAGTGCAGTGGCTGGATCTCAGCTCACTGCAAGCTCCGCCTCCCGGGTTTATGCCTTTCTCCTGCCTCAGCCTCCCGAGTAGCTGGGACTACAGGCGCCCGCCACCTCGCCCGGCTAGTTTTTTGTATCTTTTTTTTTTTAGTAGAGACAGGGTTTCACTGTGTTAGCCAGGATGGTCTCCATCTCCCGACCTCGTGATTCGCCCGTCTCGGCCTCCCAAAGTGCTGGGATTACAGGCTTGAGCCACCGCGCCCGGCCTAGAAGTCTTTTGCATAACAATGTGAATATACTTAACATGCCTGAAATGAACAACATTTTTTTTGAGACAGGATCTTACTCTGCAGTGTAGTGGCACAAATTTGACTCCCTCTCAATCTCCCAAGTACCCGGGACCACGGCTGCATACCACCATGCTTGGCTATTATTAATTTTTTTTATAGAGAGGGGTCTCCATATGTTCCCCAGGCTGCTCTCAAACTTTTGGGCTCCAAAGATCCTCCTGCCTTGGCATCACAAAATCCTGGGATTACAGATGAAAGCCACAACCACGCCTGGCCCTGAAATGTACACTTCAATAGATTTAAGACAGTAAATTTTATGTTATGTGTTTTTAAAACAATTTTGTAAAGAAAAACTGAAACAAATACAGAATTATAAATCCTGTTGAAAATTACCTTCAAATCACAAAAGTGTTTTTCTCACAAAAGGAAGTATATATTCATCATTAAACACATGGAAAAAATAAAACTATCTCAATGACTGCTCACTTAAAACTACCATCGAAAATCAGCTAAGAAAGAATATAAGCCACAACTAAAATTGGTGTCATATTTATAGATAAACACGCATACATATGTAATCTGATTGTAATAAACATGCATAATTTATTTTATTTATTTATTTATTTATTTATTTTGAGACAGAGTCTCGCACTGTTGCCCAGGCTGGAGTGCAATGGTGTGATCTCGGCTCACTGCAACCTCCGCCTCCTGAGTTCAAGTGATTCTCCTGCCTCAGCCTCCCAAGTAGCTGGGATTACAGGCACCCACCACCACACCTGGCTAATTTTTTTGTATTTTTAGTAGAGATGGGGTTTCACTCTGTTGGCCAGGCCAGTCTCAAACTCCTGACCTCATGATCCACCTGCCTCAGCCTCTCAAAGTGTTGGGATTACAGGCGTGAGCCACCAGGCCCAGCAATTTATCTCTTAATTAAACCTCAACTTGACTTAAATGTACAAACAGAATTGCAAATTTTCTAAAATTATAATATAAAAGTAAAACCAAGACACAATAAACTGATGTTAAGAAACCTACACTAAGGCCAGGCACAGTGACTCACTCCTGTAATCCCAGCTCCTTGCAAAGCTGAGACATGAGAATTGCTTGAACCTGAAAGGATATTCAGTCTGTCCAAAAATAAAATGGGAATCACAACTACCCAAGCCCCTGTACCAAGCCAACTAAAGGTGGGCCCTAGTGCAGACCCAGCAGTCTTGTGACCAAGTTACAACCCCTTTTCACTAAAAATTCACAGTGTATCTCATCACCCTAAGGGCCCAGTAAAAGAAGATCTTTACCTTCTAAAATCAGTTTATGAAAACCTGAAGAGGTGTTTGCTCCATCAAATTTACATACCAATACAAAACTATATTGTGCCCATTGTCGATGCTTCTTTGTTTTTGTTTTTTTTTTTAATTGACATGGAGTTTCGCTCTTGTTGCCCAGGCTGGAATGCAATGGTTCCAGCTCACTGCAACCTCTGCCTCCCAGATTCAAGTGATTCTCCTGTCTTAGCCTCCCAAGGAGCTGGGGTTACAGGTGCATGTCACCACACCCGGCTAATTTTTGTATTTTTAGTAGACACGGGGTTTCATCATATTGGTCAGGCTTGTCTCGAACTCCTGACCTCAGGTGATCCACCTGCCTTGGCCTCTCAACGTGCCTGGATTACAGGTGTGAGCCAGGGAGCCTGGCCAATGCTTCTATTTTAATGTAGCACTGGAAGTATGTAGCAGAAGAATTAGTCAAAGAAATAAAAAAAAAAAAACATTGAAATTGAAAAAAAAAAAAGTAAAAAGTTGCTGTTTGTACATCATACAATCATATATTTAAAAAATCATAAATGGTACATTAAACCCTATCTAATAAATACAGTCAGTAAATTAGCAAAATATAAAATTAACATACAAGTATATGTATGGTTTCGAACACCTTTTTTTTTTTTTTTTTTGGAGAAGGAGTCTAGCTCTTTTGTCCAGCCTGAAGTGCAATGGTGTGATCTCAGCTCACTGCAACCTCAGCCTTCTAGGTTCAAGCGATTCTCCTGTCTCAGCCTCACGAGTTGCTGGGTTTATAGGCATGCACCACCATGCCCGGTTAATTGTTTTATTTTTAATAGAGACAGGGTTTCTCTATGTTGCTCAGGCTGGTCTCAAACTCCTGACCTCAGGTGATCAGCGCGCTTCAGTCTTCCAAAGTGCTGGGATTACAGGTGTGATCTAGTACTTTGGGAGACCGCCTCCCGCTATGGTTCAATACACTTAAACTGCGCCCAGCTACAGTTTCATACACTTAAACTACCTGATAAAATAGAGAAAAAAATCTTATTTACTATAGCATTAAATAATACATTTCTGAGAAAAAAATTAACCAAGGATGTAAAAAACCTTTACAATTAAAAAAAATCAATGAAAAAAGGGAAGATCAAAATAAATTTTTAAAAATTTTATGTCTTTGGATTGAAAGAACAAATTATAATAAAGTGCCATATTAGCCAAAGTGATCTATAGATTCAATACATTTCCTATCAAAATTGCAGTAGTATTTTTTTCACAGTAATGGAAAATTCAACTGTAAAATTTACATGATACTAAAATAAACTTTGAAGAGCCAAAGCAATCTTGAGGAAAAGGAACAAAGCAGAAGAATATCATACTTATAATTTCAAACTATATTTGAAGACTTTATAGTAATAAAAACAGAATGGACTGTGCAGAAAAATAAACAAAAAAAAATGCAACAGAAACTACTACTCTCACACATTTCAGACCTGATGTAAAAAGAGGACTTAAAAAAAAGTTTTAGTTTCTCAATATTATGCAGATATTTGTGTGTCCCCAAAACAATGGAAAAGCAGCCAGATTGTGAAGTCTCTTTCTTCTTCTTTATTTTATTTTATTTTTTGGTGAGATGGAGTCTTGCTCTGTTGCCCAGGCTGGAGAGGAATGGCATGATCTCAGCTCACTGCAACCTCCACCTCCCAGGTTCAAGTGATTCTCCTGACTCAGCCTCCCAAGTAGCTGGGATTACAGGCACCCGCCACCACGCCCAGCTAATTTTTGTATTTTTAGTAGAGATGGAGTATCACCATGTTGGTCTGGCTAAGCGCAAACTTCTGACCTCATCTGATCCACCTGCCTTCGCCTCCCAATGTTCTGGGAGTACAGGCATAAGCTACCACACCCAGCCTGCGCAGTCTCTTACATGCCATGAAGAGGACTTTGGCTCTCACTGTGAACTTGAAGGAAGCTCACCAAAGGAGAAGTAGAATTCTTAGAGAATTTAAAAGCATAAGACAGAAGATGCCCTTTTGTGGGAGCCAAATTAAAATACAGCTGCCCAGGAACTATTTCCTTTGGAACACGGCTTCCCGAATCACATTTTAAAGACTGGCTTTCTCTTTGACATTGGGACGTCTTATCTGTGTCATCTGTTGTATTCATTTTCACTCGCACCTACCTGGGGGTTTGGCAATCATCTCATGTCTCTCCATAGGTTTTTTTCCTTGCTCCAGACAGGTAACCAGGTCTGGCTTAGAGACAACAATACCTGTTTTATTAAAAATAAATAACATGAATCTTGCTCATATACTCCAATTACAAGCTAGTAATGTGCTCAGCAGAGATGTCACAAAACATTCTAGTAAATTAATACCAAAATAATATTTATAACAGAAATTTCTAAATATTTAGAAAATACTTTCAATTTATAGGTTTCTTAATTTTACTATCTGGTACTACTGAATCAAAAATTGGTGGTGGCAATTAGATTTTTAGGTGGGGCAACAATATTTTATGCCACTGAATTTCTGGAATTACCACTAATTTGGAGTGAAGAATACAGCTCAACTCAGGAATGTGGAAAGTTTGGATTAAGATGAAACATGTTGAAGAAATCATTTTCTAAATAAACAAATTCAGAAGATTTTCTGGAAAAAGGGGATCTGAAACTCTTTTATGCAAAGAATAAATTACTAAAAAACATTCTACAAAAAAGAGAAATAAAATCTTTAGGGTATATTATGAATTATGTACTCAAGTTATCCTCACCAAGGAAGACCAGGTTTCTGTAGTTCTCTAACATCACATCCCTATATAAATTCCGCTGTGCAGTGTCCAGGCAATGCCACTCCTCCAGAGAGAATTCTATGGCCACATCTCTAAATTGCAATGGTCCCTGAAAAACACACACACACATATTTACTAAATAGCCATGAGTGGA